CATCCCACCACCCTTACCCCCACACGCACACCCATCCCACCACCAGCCACTACTGTCGTCGTCACCACCACCACCCAACCGAGACACCACCACGCCATCACACCGCCACCCACACCCTAGGTTCCAATTCATGCCAACCAAATGCGTGGTCAAATTCCATTCCAATTCCTTTAGGAGGCACTTGGTTCACAGACTGGAATTTGGTGAAAATAGAATTCATCAAAGGAATTTGACTTCCAAGGAATTGGAATGGAATTTGACCAAGCGTTTGGTTGGCATAAATTGGAATGGAATCTCACAAAAGAATTGAATATGCATGTAATGGGGTGGGAGGTGGCGGCTATGAATACGACAATCGTAGTGTGGTAGTGTCGGGGTTGGGGGTGAGTGGGGTGGAGGTTGTGGTGGGTGGGTAGAGGTGGGGGTAGGGTGGTAGAATGATAATAGTAATTGATGGTGGTGGTGGCGGCAATGGTAACAGTGGTGGCGGAAATGTTGGCAGCGGGAGCGGTGGGGGCTGTGGGTGGTCGAGGATGGTGAGGGTGAGGGTGAGGGTGGTGCTGTTTCTTAAATTGTATGCAAATGTTATTTTTGTCCTTCTAAAACCATATTATAAATTCAGCTACACTTGCCACGAAACAGAATTTAAATCCTTCACATGCCAGGGAATGATCAAATTCCTTGATCATGGAATTTGAAAGAATCCAATCAACATTCCAATTCCAACAAACTCCTTTGAATTCAACAAACCAAACAGCCCCTTGAGTCAAATTCTTTTGACGGATTCCAATTCTACCAAATTCCATTCTATGAACCAAGCGCCCCCTAAGTTTCATAAATTTCTAGGTTCAATGTCCATAAAAGGCGGGCTTATACATATCTACTGATTTTCAGTTTTGTTTCGTTTTTACAGTGGACACTTCGCGGGCTTTGCGCAGGTATGAGCATAAGAGCTTCTGAAAATCTTTCTTCTCAATTACTCAAACAGACTTGTAGCATTTAATGTTGTTTGGATGTCTATTACAATCATCAGGATTTATTATCGTCCTTGCTGTAGTTTGGGTTTTGCAAGAAACAACAAAAGTCCGAATTCTTCGTTACATCATAATGTTCATTGGTACTACCATCCTCAGCTCTTCATCTCTCTATTTATTACTCTCTCCTTCCCAAAATAAACATCCACAATGAAAAAGGCACACAATATAAAAATGTGTAATTATTTCACTTTTTTTGTCAACCAAATGACAGTTTTACCCTTAACAATAGAGGGAGTAATGAATTTCTCCATCTCATAATTAAGGGTAGAATCGGAAAGTAGGCACTTAGTTTTGAAAATTGACACCTATTCTGGGACAAGCTAAAATAGGAACGTGGATGTTTATTTCTGCGATGGAGTAAGAAAATCATAAGTGAAGCTTTAGAGACGGAAATAGGATACTTACTAGTCACTCATGCATATTGCAGGTGTGATGAACAGTGTGTTTTCTATATATGGTATGATATTTTGGCCTTTTCAGCCAAATCTTTTTAAGTACAATTGGATTTAGCCATCATTTTTCCATCTATAGAGTTTTTCAAGATGACAAGTAAAGTGTCGTTTTTATGCAGACATATACGGTGACTTAATTTCTCGACAGGTTCACACTAGTGATGCTGAGAAGTTTGCAGAAGTTTGTCCCTGTCCTTGTAACGGTGTTGGGTGGGGTGTCATTTGGTGAGTTATTGTTCCTTCGTCATCCTTGCATAATCTTGCTCTTAAGTCTTATCTATATACCTTACGAAAGTTGCTACATTTGACTATTTACCAATTGTCTAATTGCAGCAACAAGTACAAAATCTTGTTGACCAAAAATAGCATCAATAATTTGTGATGATGTCAATGGACATAAAAATAGTGTTAGGTTTGATAATCCTCCCAAGAAACGAAATATTCCAGTGTTCACTCTATTTTTAGTATTTTTTTCTTACGCCTTATGCTCTGCCATATCTTTTCAAAATCCTCACAACTTTAAAAAAGAAAGAACTTTTTGATAGAACTTTCTCGGAAGACGGTGCTCTTCAGGGGGAACAATCTTTCTACCCCAAGGGTAGAGGAAAGGTTTGCGTATATCCTACCCCATACCCTACTTTCAAGTGGGATATACAGAGTACTTTTGGTTTGCCCAAACTTTTATTAGACCGAGAAAGATATATTTTCATTTGGTAATATCATGTTGCTATACATCACATATGTATGGTCCCCCCTCCCCCCGGGCCGGGGGGACCCTACTTCAAGATGGAATTTATTGGTTTTGTTTGGTTTATATTGTTATACATCATATATGTATAGTTTGCGTACATCTTACCCCTTAAAACCTACTTCCAGGTAAGATTTACTGGATTTGTTTGGTTTATGTTGCTATACATCATATATGTATGTTTTACTTACATCTTACCCCCAAATCCTACTTCCGGGTGGGATTTACTGGAATTGTTTGGTTTGGTTCATGTTGCTATACATCACATACGTACTCATGTATGAACTCATCTTTCAGGGGACTTGTGTCTCTCATTTTCCTCGGTGTAGCTACATACTTTGGTCTTGTGATCCTGTCTCAAGGTTAACGGTATGCTCTCTTGATCTTTTTTCATTTTGTTTTTTAACTCACGGACTCCAAGGAGTAGAGTGTCTGATTCTGTCAAGACCCATGACTTTCAAAAACATGCATGTGAAAAAAAATTGACCCGAGAGTTTCAAAAAGCGTGTCAAAAAGTTTAAAGAATTTGAAAACGGGAAAGATTCAAAAGTGAAGATCTTGAGACCAGAAAGGACTATACAACTATTGTTAAGAAGAAGAACCAAGGGTAGAAGTTATTAAGCAACAACATAAAAACATAAGTAGGTATAAAGAATATATCAAAATGTAGGACTCCCCCGCCCCTACTCAACTACCCTAATCACGCATCTACAAGAACTCCTATCAGATGCCATGTCCTCAGACACAGACCGATCTTTTTATATTTTTGAGGTTCAATCCATTACTTCTACAACTAATTATTATGGGTTTTGTCACAATTATTATCAAAGTAGTGGGAGGTTCAAATAAGAATGCTAGATATCGTGAGCAAGCCAGAAGGAAAGTTTCATGTGAGTCATTGAAAAAATCCATTTGAAGTTGCATATATGAACCCATATGAATAATTGTAACGTCAGCTCACATATGCATCTTCAAGTAGATTTTTTTCCAATGATTCACATATGAATCTTCTTTTATTACCTTCTCGCGATATTTAACCTTCTTATCTGAAACGACCCTTATCAAAGTATTTAAAGAATTTTTAATATCTCAATTGATGCCAACTGAATCCATTCGACTTATTGATGTTTGCAGATGCAGCCATTTAGAAGCTCAAGAAGTTCTACTTCTGCAGGTCAAAAATTATTGCACAGATGATTTAATTGAAGCTGAGAACAACATATGCAGCACATTTTTTGGTAAATCTTGAAGCTTTAGATCCTAAAACACTCAAAATCTTGTACTTTTAGCTTCCAAATGCTTATAGCAGTTCAGAGGTAATACAGATCCTAATGACTGATTGGATTTTATTGGAAATTGTGTAGTTAGTTTTTGTCAAATAAAAGAGGAAACTCTGGTTTTCGTCCTTGTGGTTTGTTAAAAAGATGCAACTTTTCGTCTCTATGCTTCCAAAATCACGGTTTCCAATTCTATGGTTTGCAATTCAATGCTCCCCGAGGCTAACTCCATCAATGGTTTGCCATCAATGAATTGCAAACCATAGGGACACAATGAAATTAGTCAAGATTTGTCCTAACACAATGATTGCAATTTGCAATGTGCTCATTTGGGCCTATTGGGCCATATGTTTTGGATTAGAATAGGCCCAATGGGTCCGTATTGGTCCTAATTGAGCTTAATTTCCGTCTTTAAGGTATGTTTGTTTAGGGAGTTTATCGAGCTTAATGGTATGAGTAATGTATTTGCTGAGTCATATATGTTTGTTTGCTAGTAGTTTAGTGATTAAGCCATTAGTTGCTTTGTCATGATTGGAACATCCCTACTCCTCTCACGTGATATATTAAGGGACTGTTAGATTGTTTTTTTATTAAGCTCTGTATGGATTAAGTTCTTTGTGAGGATTTAATTGTCTATATGAATGAAGTAATATTAGTATCATCATACATATGTGCATTATTAACCACTCTGAATGTAAAACGGGTCTTAACATTGTATGTTTACGTCTTTTAGTTATTTCTTCTTTTATCTGAGGATACTATTTGTGTTTTTTTTAATTAATTTGAAAAATAAAAAATTAATTTAACATACTCTTTAATCTTTTTTACATATTACTCTTTATAATATTAAACATTAATAGCTTTTATTTTGATTTACCAAATTTATATATTTAACATGCTTTTAACTAAAAATTAAATAATTTCATTTGAGTGTGTATTAAATTGAAATTTGTATTATTCTATGATGTTCGTAAAAAATGTTTATAGATTGTTTGACGGTTGCTGAATGGTTTGGTGCAAAATGATTAAATGGTTAAAATGATCAAGAGACTCTCATGATACAATGCAAAATGAAATATAATTGTTTACAATGAAATTAGGACGTTGAATGGTTAAGGAAGACCTATAATACAAAATTGGTCAGAGTGTTTTAGAACTATTAAGAGACAAATTTTTTTTTCCCCAAATAAGATTCACCTCTTAACAGTTTATAGGCTGTCTCTTAATGAAACTATTAAGAGTTAAACAAACAATCCTTCAATTTTATAGTCAGCTACATTATTTTTTGCTCTACCTATTCAATTATTTTTTTGACATTTAAATGATAATTAAATTATAAGATTTATCAAATAGTCTTTTTTTTTTAAATTCAATTCTGGACAGCAACGTAAAAAATATGATCATTTTAAAACAAACATTTATTTATCTTGCTTTACAAACAACTTAATTCATATAGATCTTAATAAGAAAATATTAATAAACAATCTCGTAGGGTTTGTTTCTATTAAACCGTGTATGAATTAAACTATCTAAATAGATTAAACTGTCTATATATATATATATATATATATATATATATATATATATATAGGTGGGTTCAAATAAAAACCATTCAATTTGTAAAAACCGTAAAAACCTCATTCAACCAATTATAATTTTTCATTTTGTTCATTTTTTTTTTATAATTATGAGAGATTGATCAACCATTTTTATTGTGGAGGGTGTTAATCATGGATATTACCATCTTCATTATTTTAATTTTAGAGAAATACATGAAACAGTTTCATTAAAGTTTCATTAAGTAGTATATGAAACAATTTCATAACCACATATGAAACAAATTCATCAAAAAAAGTATTATATGAAACAATTTCACAAGATTAACAATTTCATGAAAATTTTTCATAAGATTAACGATGGATGAGAGTAGTTTTTACGGTTTTTACAAATTAGAGTGATTTTCATTTAATCGCTCATATATAATTTGTTTTGTGATAAATAAGTAGTTTAAAATGGAAAAATTACCACTTTACCCTTTGTATCAATGTTTAATGGAAAATCATTCTTTCATAATTTTTCTAATGAAAGTTTTAGAAAAGTAAAAAAAAAAAAACATCAACGAATTTTTAGGGGCCGTTTACTAAACACTTACTTGGTAAAAGGTAAACCAACCTTTTATTTGTCTCTTATTATTCTCCGAACACTTAGCAATGACGTTTCGTAATTGATTAACCTTAAACGATCATTTCTCTCAATCAATCCTTACCAAATCGATCATCTGTCTCAATTAATGTATTTTAATATGATTTAAATGTGTTAAATACCGTTAATGACATATTTTCGTTTAAATGATGCTAATTATATAACTTAGATGTAAATTTCGTAACGATGATGAATAAATATGTGAAATTGTATAAATTTATCTATAAATTCAACACTATAATTTTCTAATGGAGAAAATAGACAATTTAAACAAACTCAGACATTTATCAGTTTACAAAAACAAACAGTCTTATTGATTCAGATTTCAGATTTTAGCACCACCTCTTATTAATCAGAAGTGAAATAAGACTTTAGACTTCAACACCTCTTAAAAAAACAAACGCCACCTTAGCCTTAATAGAAAGTTGCATGCAAATATTTTTAATATCTTTTATGTAAATATTTGCCTTGTTTGTATGCTCTCAATTTGGTTTACTTCGTTTAAACACAATCGTTTAGCTAGATTGTAAAATGACGTAACAAATTTTTAACCTGACTAATCAACCCAAATAGTGAAGACACAAACCACGAACATTGGGTTGGTTGGTCAAATGTCTTCAACCTGACCAACCAACCCAATATTTGTGGTTTGGGTTGAAGGCATTTGACCAACCTGACTAATAAACCACAAACATTGGGTTGGTTGGTCAAATGCTTTCAACCCAACCAACCCAACTTACGTGCAACCCTATATCGAAGTATGTGGATTATTCATAACAAAAACTAAAGCTGTATTGATGTTAAATCTGATATAATGATATGCATCTAACGGTATCGTTACGAACTTAAATTATCATTAAATGTTTAGAGTATGACGTCTTCGCAGTAAAAAGTTGCACGTTTGAGAGAAGATAAATCGTTTTATGTTCTGTATGTTGAATGAACGATGTGAATGATAAAAAAAGACTACCTCTACTAGTAGAAGAGTATTAAAGTTATTAGAACGCTTCCAAACGAATTCTATCAATCGTTAAACAAAACCAGGAACATCGACTCATATATGCATAACAAGTCTATCATCGAGACTTAAACCTAACAAGATAAAGTATACAATACGTATAATACCATGGAGAGATTTTTTTTTTGAATAACCTGGATATCCAACCCGCTATGCGAGCCGACTAATCACAGGGAGACCACCTGTTTTGCAAGTAACCCGGAGTCACCGCATTTGAACCTCCGTGGCCACAAGGGGATTTTTATCCCTCCTTGGATTTGAACCTGAGACCTCCTGGTACTTTTGACCTTTGGAGCCAAGCTCAAACCAATCAGACACCACCCTTGTGGTTAATGGAGAGATTCAATTATATTCAAAACAAAAGGAACCCATTTGTTTTCATATCAATAAAAAGATGATATCCACGCAACAACGAGGGAGCATAGTTACCACACAGTGAGCGTATGGGATATCCGTAACTATATTGTGCTGTACGATACATACAACCGAACAAAGCTTCTGATAGCATAATCAATGAAAAATAGGCATATAACCCATCAAAGATACATACCAGATGCTAAAGCAACTGTTACTATCAACAGAGTCGACAAGCAGTTTTTCAACAGTACATCAAAAAGGACGGATTAGAGAGGGCTGATCTCGACATTTTATTAGCTCAATTAAATGCATTGTAGTATGAAAAAACAAACACCACGTGGTTGTTATTGATAAACCATATACAAAGAAGCTGAAAACGATTGTCAAGATCGGACCCAGAGAAATACAACAGAGAAAAGGAAAGCAATACATGTCATTAAGGTTCGTCACTTATTTTGTTGGCATCGCTCAGAATAGAACACACACAAACGAGTTGTCAATCTGTCAAAGATACAAGGACGTGTATCTCCCATTTGACGTTATACAACGCATCGTTGCAACGTCTTAATGACTTTCATATAAATAACTGTTCAAAACCACCGATTATGTCTAGAAACAGTAAGTGTTCAGAAAGTTCTATTCTCAAAGACTGTTGACAAAAGATATTACAGTTTTAATCTGTTCATTGATACTGAATTATCCAATAAGCAGACTTGTAATTCTACGTTAAACCAATCACCACAGTGTTCAAAGTACCAAAACTATCAAGTCAGCCAATTTCTACTGGTTATTTGGCAACGAAACTACAAGTATATATATGCAGTTATAATCGATCATACTGTTATATTGTAACGTTCTTTTCGCATCGAAACAGAAATACAATGATTAGTTTACAAGATTACCTACAAATATTGGGTTAAGATGTGTCATGAAAAGAGAATCAAAGCATTGTTAGTAGTGGTCCCTTTCAATTCCAAAGGTTGTGGACTAAAAAAGAAAGAAATGAATTTAAAAAGGGGCATTCACGTCTTTTTAACCACAAAATGGTGTGATATACAAGAAAAGAAGGTAATCCCTATCAAGATTGTTATCTTCCCAAGGTCTTTGGACCAATTATTTTTTTTACAACATAACCTTTTTATTTTACTTTTTTATATATATAATTTTTATCGATCTTTTCATAAACAAACTCACTGGTGGCATTTTCGATAATATTGGAAGTCTGAAAGGTATCCAAAAGGTTTTTACTGTGTTCCATCTGTTAAACAATTACTGAGACGAATTTCGACAATGGAAATTTTATGAAAAACAAGAGAATTTTGTAAAATGTTTGTACCTGATTTTACAAAAACAAACTATTGATTCAGAGTTTAGAATTAAGGCGTTTGTCAGTTTACAAAAAACAAACAGTCTTATTGACTTAAATTTCAGACTTTTAGCACCAACTCTTATCTATACTATCTTATAAAACATTTGGCTAAAACTCTTAAAAACTCTTAAAACTCTTAAAAACTCTTAAACCTGTTCATTCCTAAACGATTTCATCC